CGATGGCATCGAAAGCGATTTTTCCGCAAAACGATACTTTTTCGCAAAATTTTTGCCCCGCATACCGATTAAAAACCCGCATACCGAATTTCGTCAGACCGTCCAATTGCCCTCACAGTGCCGGCCGCCCATGTTTACCAGCCGCCTCCGCGGTAACATCCAAGCATACACCCGGAATATTTCGTATTATTACAGTGTTTTTCGTGGGTTTTGGAAAATAATACCATGGCCCCAAGAAACTTCTAGTGCCAACCCTGTGTAAAAAGGGTGAGAATGATGGAAATTAAAAAAGATTTTGAAGGGTTTGGGGCTAACCGAGAAGCCTATGCCATTTTGTGGAATCCATTGTGCCTACTTCAAAGATTAAGAAAATGTGTGCAGAGTGGTTTGAACTGCAAACCTTAAGATGAAAATCAACCCTGACACAGTGTTGCAAGCCGTGCTGGGACTATTTCAATGCCCAATGTTATGGCCCATTTTAGAAATCTTGAAGAAACGGAGGTACAGAGCTCTATGGACAGATTTGTTGTGCGACAGAGGCAGTGACTCTGAAGCTGTCCAGGGGCATTAAAAGAAGAAGGGAAGTACCCCAGAAAAGGAACTTTGCTACCTCAAGTCCTAATGAAAAGGATTCCCCTTCTAAACAGTAAGAAGAAATGCTCTCCCCTCCTCCCATCCCATCAATCATCACCAGATCTCAATAAAAGTAAGTGTCATGTAATTGTGCATAGCTTTTCAGTTTGTTTATTAAAATTAACATTTCATGTGTAAAAAAATTTTTTTTTCATACTTTTGGGCGTCTTGCACGGATTAATTTTATTTCCATTATTTCTTATGGGGAAAATTAATTCGCATAACGATTATTTCGCATAACGATGAGCCCTCTTGCACGGATTAAAATCGTTAACCGGGGGTCCACTGTACAACAGTTTAGAAGTATATACGTATAAAGATACACAACATATCCCTCCAAACTGCCAATATCCCAAACCCCTCCTTTCAAGTGCAGGCATTGTACGTCCCATTTCCAGGACTCAAGTCCGGCTATATAAAATAACCGGTTTCCCTGAATCCCTTCACTAAATATTACCCTGCTCACACTCCAATTGCTCGTCAGGTCCTAAATACCATTCGTCTCCATTCACTCCTATCTAACATGCTCATGCACGCTTGCTGGAAGTCCAAGCCCCTTCCCACAAAACCTCCTTTACCCCCTCCTTCCAACCTAGTAAAAATTATTCTTTTTAGTAATTATTACAGGAAAAGGGGTTACTAGCCCATTGTTCCTGGCATTTTAGTTGACTTTTACAACACGCAAAAATTTTTTTTAGCAGACCATCTTGCAACCAGGCAAATTAGTAATTTTCATTCATCAAAATTTTTGTATTCTGAAGTGTGAGGGGGCATTCTGAGTGGCTAGAAAGAGCATTTTCTGATAAGTAAATATTGGCAGCGACCACCAAAATTCTTTCTGAGTATACCAGGAAAAGTGTACGGTAGGGTTATAATTGAAAGAAATAGAGGTAAGACAGAATGTAGGATTGCGGATGAGCAAGGAGGCTTCAGAGTGGGTAGGGGATGTGTAGATCAAGTGTTTACATTGAAGCATATATGTGAACAGTATTTAGATAAAGGTAGGGAAGTTTTTATTGCATTTATGGATTTAGAAAAGGCATATGATAGTGGATAGGGGAGCAATGTGGCAGATGTTGCAAGTATATGGAATAGGTGGTAAGTTACTAAATGCTGTAAAGAGCTTTTATGAGGATAGTGAGGCTCAGGTTAGGGTGTGTAGAAGAGAGGGAGAATACTTCCTGGTAAAAGTAGGTCTTAGACGGGGAAATGTGTAATGTCACCATGGTTGTTTAATATATTTATAGATGGGTTGTAAAAGAAGTAAATGCTAGGGTGTTCAGGAGAGGGGTGGGATTAAATTATGGGGAATCAAATTCAAAATGGGAATTGACACAGTTACTTTTTGCTGATGATACTGTGCTTATGGGAGATTCTAAAGAAAAATTGCAAAGGTTAGTGGACAAGTTTGGGAGTGTGTGTAAAGGTAGAAAGTTGAAAGTGAACATAGAAAAGAGTAAGGTGATGAGGTATCAAATGATTTAGATAAAGAAAAATTGGACATCAAATTGGGAGGAGGAGTAAAGGAAGAAGTGAATGTTTTCAGATACTTGGGAGTTGACGTGTCGGCGGATGGATTTATGAACGATGAGGTTAATCGTAGAATTGATGAGGGAAAAAAGGTGAGTGGTGCATTGAGGTATATGTGGAGACAAAAAACGTTATCTATGGAGGCAAAGAAGGGAATGTATGAAAGTATAGTAGTACCAACACTCTTATATGGGTGTGAAGCTTGGGTTGTGAATGCAGCAGCGAGGAGGTGGTTGGAGGCAGTGGAGATGTCCTGTCTAAGGGCAATGTGTGGTGTAAATATTTTGCAGAAAAAATTGGTGTGTGGAAATTAGGAGGTGTGGAGTTAATAAAAGTACAGTGGTCCCTCGTTTTTCGTAATTAATCCGTTCCTGGAGGAGCTACTATAAACGAAATTTACGATTTGCGAATCAATTTTCCCCATAAGAAATAATGTAAATACAATTAATCCGTTTCTGACACCCAGAAGTATTAAAACAAAGAAAAATTTTTACATGAAATATACATGTAGTACATAAACAATACAATGGGAAATGATGAATGAAACATTAACAGCATAACACTTACCTTTATTGGAGATTCTTCTTAGTGTATGGGAGACTGGAGGAGGAGAGAGATTGGATTGTTTACAGTTTGGAAGGGGAATTCCCTTTCCCGCAACACCTCAGGTACCAATTGCTTCTCTGGGGTTGCTTCTCTTCTCTGTTTCTTAATGCCACTAGGACCACCTTGAGAGTCACTCTAGTCCTGTCTCACAAAGTAACTGTGGAGAGAGCTCTGTTTCTGGCATCTCTTTAACACTTCCCTAAAATGGCCCAAGACTTTGTCACTGTACATATTTCTCACCTTCTTTACCACAGGCTTGGCACTAGGAGCTTTCTTTGGAGCCATGGTAGCTTATTTAGTACTTGCAAGCACTGAAATGAGTGGAATATTATGAAATATTTCGTAGGAGCACTTGAGGGGACCTTCACTCACTGGTAAACAATGCCAGACTGGCTGGGTAGGGAGGCCTCCCCGGCTCAAACCGTGCGTACGCGTCCCGGACGAACTACTATTTGCGAGTCAACCTATGAAAAGCGAGTCCATGTTTATACGAAAATACCCCTATGATTAGCGAAATTTACGATTGCCGAGAACTACGAAAAGTGAGGGACCACTGTATTAGTCAGAGGGCTGAAGAGGGGTTGTTAAAGTGGTTTGGTCATTTAGAGAGAATGGATCAAAGTAGAATGACATGAAGAGCATATAAATCTGTAGGGGAAGGAAGGCGGGGTAGAGGTCCTTGAAAAGGTTGGAAGGAAGGGGTAAGGGAGGTTTTGTGGGCAAGGGGCTTGGACTTCCAGCAGGCGTGGATGAGAGTGTTCGATAGGAGTGAATGGAGACGAGTGGTATTTGGGACCTGATGATCTGTTGGAGTGTGAGCAGGGTAATATGTAGTGAAGGGATTCAGGGAAACCGGTTATTTTTATATAGCCGGACTTGAGTCCTGGAAATGGGAAGTGCAATGCCTGCACTCTAAAGGAGGGGTTCGGGATATTAGCAGTTTAGTGGGATATATTGTGTATCTTTATACGTATATGCTTCTAAACTGTTGTGTTCTGAGCACCTCTGCAAAAAAACAGTGATTATGTGTGAGTGAGGTGAAAGTGTTGAATGATGATGAAAGTATTTTCTTTTTGGGGATTTTTTCTTTCTTTTTGGGTCACCCTGCCTCAGTGGGAGACGGCCGACTTGTTAAAATAAGAAAAAAGAAAAAAATAATACTCAATAATAATTACCAAGTCTCATTAAATGTCATATATTACGTTAATATACACATTTTCATTAATCCATCTAGTGTGACTTTGTCAATGGTCCAAGTCGGACCGAAACGTCGTCATAAGCTTTTCTCTTTTATGTGCAGGTTATTTGTGTATCGTTCCAGTCACGGTATTGTGCCTTTTTTTGTTATTTATTTGTGTATCCATCTATGATATTTTTTCAAAATTATATCATAAACGCAATATGTAACATATAAAGATGATAAATACACCCCACAGTAGAATAAAGTAACAAATATAAGATGTGGTAGCCAGACAAATTGTACGAGTGACGGCAAGAATAACGTTTTCTCTAGTCCAACATCAGAGAAAGTGTGTTACTGGGGGGTAACTGTAGAAAATTATTCCTTTCGTATGCCTTTACTCAGAGCGTTATTTCTTCTAAAATTGGTGTTACATGAGAATGGGAGTGCTCCTCTTTATTTATTCTACCATATCAACATAGAGACAACTTTTACACAATGTAACATGTACACAAACCAGACTTGTTCACCTGGTTTGTTTACAAAACTTGCGTACGCCTGGATTGTTTGCTTAACTCCGTGCCTGTCCTCTCTCATGTACTCATTCTCTCTCTCTCATTTATTCGTTTTATCTCATTTGCTCACCTCTGACCCTACATTAAGACTACAAATGTTTTAAGGTAAGTAATGAGTGAACTGTATATGCATTTAATCGCTCTGGGACACTTAAACGTCATAAAATATTACGTGTGGGTGAGGTGGCCTGGTATGGTAGCCTGGCTGGCTACCATACATACCACACTTGATTTCTTAAAATAAATACTACTCATCTCACCCTAGATTAATACAACAAATATTTTAAGGTAAGTAATGAGTGTACTACATGTGTATATTACTTTTTTATTGCTTTTAATAGGTAGTTCTATTGCTAACTTAATATATGTTAGTGTGAACTTGTTATCTAGTATTTATATGTATTTATAAGTGAAAAAAAGGTGTTCCACTTTACGGCGATTTACGCTTTACGGCAGTAGCCTGGAACCTAACCTGCCGTATAAGTGGAGCCCTACTGTATATGAGAAAGAGACCTTTCCAACAGAACAAATTGCAGTTTCACAAACATGTCAACACTTACAGGAATCATTCCAAATTCAATGAGGTCCCTTGCTTCTACTTTGGTTAAGAGAGCATCTTTCTCCTGATTGTCTTCCTCTGCATCTGTGCTGGCAGTTAGGTGAGCCACATCTGCCTGTGATGCTGCTCGCCGACCAACTGACTGGCCTCCGATGCCAAAGCCTAGGTACTGCAGAGAAGCACAAAAAATTCTGATGAGATACTTAAGAAAAAATAAGTTTCAAAGATGATGAGGTTTGCTTCATAAGATTTGAAATATAGATCACTGATAAATAACTAAATAAGTTTATCTTAACTCTGATGGTCTTCCAGTAAACAATGGGGGAAAAAATACTCAGAGCCAACAACTGTATAAGCTATTCCTTAACCTTAGATTGATGTCGAATGTTAGGTCAGTTTATGAAGTACAAAGCCAATGATTCCACAAGGGTCATTAAGGTTGCAATTCACATGTACACTACCACTCAAGAAAACCTTAATCCCTAAAATAGGGATTAAACTTATCAAGGAATGGAAAGGATTTGATCCAAGACAAGGCTAGCTAAAAACTCTTCCCACTAAGCATATTTCTATACAATAGGAAGGTCATTTCACGGCACCACTGCAACTACAAATGCAGGTTTTTATGGACAAATCTCACACCAACATAGCTATGGAGAGATCTAACTCAAGTCCCTTTAAAGTCATTTTTTGCAAAATTGTAACATGATCATAAACAACTTGGGAAAGGACAAGACCTGACCCATGGCAAGACAATCCTTAAATTAAGCAAACACTTTTCCCATTGTACAATGTCAGCCTAAGAAAATTCATTCCACTAGGTATACCTCTATATACTACTATGAAAGAAAGCCTGGGACACCACTATGACCATAAGAGCAGGCCCTTAAGAAGGAATCTCACACTAGCATACATTAAAATAAACAAGTCACAATCACATTTCAATGTTACAGTCACACATCTGACGGTCTTAAAGCGACATACAGAAAGTGACTAGGAAAATAAGCTGAGACTCCTTGTGTGTTTTTTTTTTTTTTTAACAAGTCGGCCGTCTCCCACCGAGGCAGGGTGACCCAAAAGAGAAAGAAAATCCCCCCAAAAAAATACTTTCATCATCATTCAACACTTTCACCTCACTCACACACACTCACTGCTTTTGCAGAGGTGCTCAGAATACAACAGTTTAGAAGCATATACATGTAAAGATACACAACATATCCTTCCAAACTGCTAATATCTCAAACCCCTCCTTTAAAGTGCAGGCACTGTACTTCCCATTTCCAGGACTCAAGTCCGGCTATATAAAAATAACTGGTTTCCCTGAATCCCTTCACAAAATATTACCCTGCTCACACTCCAACAGCTCGTCATGTCCCAAATACCATTTGTCTCCATTCACTCCTATATAACATGCTCCTGCATGCTTGCTGGAAGTTCAATCCCTCACCCACAAAACCTCCTTTACCCCCTCCCTCCAACCTTTTCAAAGATGACCCCTACCCCGCCTTCCTTCCCCTACAGATTTATACGCTCTCCATGTAATTCTACTTCGATTCATTCTCTCTAAATGACCAATCCACCTCAACAACCCCTCTTGACTAATACTTTTATTAACTCCACACCTCCTAATTTCCACACTCCGAATTTTCTGCATAATATTTACACCCCACATTGCCCTTGGACAGGACATTTCCACTTCCTCCAACCACCTCCTTGCTGCAGTATTTACAACCCAAGCTTGACTCTTTGGTTATGTACAAATAAATTCTCAAATGCTGGGTGTCTTTACAAATAACAATATTATTTAGCGAATTACACTAAACTTTGCATATAATGGACTTCAGAAATACGTAACAAAATCTACTGGGTTAATCGATTTGGAAATAATGGACAAAGTCAGTTATAGAATTGTAAACCATTGTTACAATCACGGAGACAGAGAGTAGGATAGCAGATGAACAAGGAGGCTTTAGGAAAGGTAGGGGATGTGTTGACCAAGTGTTTACAATGAAACATATAGGTGAACAGTATTTAGATAAAGGTAAAGTGGTTTTTGTGGCATTTATGGATTTGGAAAAGGTGTATGACGGGGTGGATAAGTGGCAATGTGGCAGCTGTTGCAAATGTATGGAATAGGAGGTAGGTTACTGAAAGCAGTGAAGAGTTTTTATAAGAACATAAGAAAGAAGGAACACTGCAGCAGGCCTACTGACCCATGCAGAGCAGGTTCCCCCCCTGGATTAGCCCAATGACCCACCTAGTCTGGTCACTTCCACATAAGGAAGGAGCACGGCATCAGACCTAGTAGCACAAGCTAGTCAGGTCCAACTCTCATCCACCCACACCCACTCATGTATTTATCTAACCTATTTTTAAAACTACACAACGTTTTAGCTTCTATAACTGTACTCAGGAATTTGTTCCACTCATCCACAACTCTATTACCAAACCAGTGCTTTCCTATATCCTTCCAGAATCTGAATTTTTCCAACTTGAAACCACTGCTGCGAGTCCTGTCTTGGCTGGAAATTTTCTGCAAACGTGTGAGCATGTTCGATAGGAGTGAATGGAGACAAATAGTTTTTAGGACTTGACGTGCTGTTGGAGTGTGAGCAAGGTAACGTTTATGAAGGAATTCAAGGAAACCAGCAGGCCAGACTTGAGTCCTGGAGATGGGAAGTACAGTGTCGGCACTCAAAAGGAGGGGTGTTAATGTTGCAGTTTTATAACTGTAGTGTAAGTGTGCCTCTGGCAAGACAGTGATGGAGTGAATGATGATAGTTTTTCTTTTTTGGGCCACCCTGCCTTGGTGGGAGACAGCTGATGTGTTAATAAAAGAAAAAAGTAACAATCACAGCAATCTCTTCTCTCTACACCACAAATGCCATTACTGGCCACCTGCTCTCCCCAATTAATCCATTACATATATGTATATGGAGAGTTTGTGTTGTATATGCTTCTAAACTGTTGTGTTCTGAGCACCTCTGCAATAACAGTGATGATGTGTGAGTGAGGTGAAAGTGTTGAATGATGATGAAAGTATTTTGTTTTGGGGGATTTTCTTTCTTTTTTGGGTCACCCTGCCTCGGTGGGAGACGGCCGACTTGTTGAAAAAAAAAAAAATGGAGAGTTTACTGTATTATGGTTTGTCCTTACTTCTACTTCTGTCTTTTCATGCCTAAACTGTATATTTGTTAACACACTATAAGATAACTTATTCCTTTATTCTTTTCACACCTTTATTTCGTAAATTATTTGATAAATCACAGTGCAGAATTCTTCATTAAATCACTGAGAATTTCTGATGGGAGTCTGCATTCACATTACAGTGAAAAAATTATTCTCATGTTTCTTAAGGCTATCACTCAGTCTATGATAAAATATAGAGATTATTATTATTATTATTATTATTTATTATTATTATTATCAAGGTGGAGAAACTTAGCAAATGCAATGTGTGGAAAAGATTCTGTAGGTACTGTACAACAACAATTGTGAAACAAGTTGAATCATAAGCCTCCCCCCCTCCCCAAAAACATGAATCATAGAAAAAAATATCATCTACCAGTAATTAAATGGAGAGAGAGAAATGAACAGAAATTTCTAGAAAGAGAAAGACATTCATGATATTTAAAAGAAAAAATAAGATAAAATTTAGCTCACAGGAAAAAATACATTGCCTGTCATTGCAACAAGCCATGCACAGACCAACAATTATTTTCGTACACATTATAGAAATATGGATGAAGACTGCCTATGTAGGAAAATGGTGTGCATGATATGCATAAAAGTACTTTAATCTTAAATTGGAAATGGTAAACAAGGAAGAAAATTAAAGCAAAAGCAAAAGATAGAGCGAATGTAAAGCAAACACCAAAATGGAAGACAGCTATATCTGAGTCCTAGAGGTGGAAGTACAGTGTCTGCACTCTGAAGGAGGAGTGGGGATGTCGCGGTTTGGAGGGTCATCTGAGCTGCAATGTTATTGTGCTTCTGGCACGACAGCGACTGAATGAGTGACAGTGAAAGTGTTTTCTTCTTCATCGGGGCATTCTACATCAGTGGGACACAGCTGGAGTGTTAAAAAAAAATTTGAGAGTATGCAGCATATTGTTGCATCATACAGTTGTCTCCTATTTTGGTATTTTGTCTAAAGACCTGTCCACAATCTGGGTAGTAGACAGTGGAGTTGTATATTATGCATCATCAGTTTGTTGAGTGCTGGGATCAGAAAGTAGATAAAACTGACCATCACCAAGAGGAGGGACACATCCATTTCTACTGCCTTGAGTCACTAATATCAACCATTTATTAATGATGGTTATACAAATGTACAAGTGATTAAAAATAATAAAAAAAAAAATATTTCTTAAAACTGTTCCAGACTTACTTGAAACTGTAGCATGAAAAAAAGAAAGTGTAAACACGATATGAGAATATTTCAGACAAGCACGTTTATGCGTTACAGTTAACACAACTGCTTAATTTAGAGGTAAAATAATAAGCAAAGGCAAGAGTTCAATGACAGATTCATACAACAATAACTCTACATTGATTATATTGTATATGCATTTTATTAGAAAACTACTGTCTATGGCAAATACCTATGTCCATCTCTATCATGTCCACCTTTTCCCACACTGAAGGCAAGGGGTTACAGGCAGTCTTCCTCAAACATTTCAGGTGCTAACAATCTTGATATCTGCAAGTATCAACACCTAAAACATTTTCCAAAGACTTCTGATTTGGCTATCACTTATGATTTTTTGCAGATATAAACACACAAAAGACAATAACAAAACCCTTAGCATTGAGTCAAACAAGGAAGAGTAGGAATGAAGAAACTGAATACTGTACATAATAGTCAAAAAAGAACCTATGAAAAGAGAAACTAGCAATATTGAAGAACAGTTTGGTTTAAGATAAGAAAAGGAAAAGGTAACCCTTAGTTTCTCAACTTCCATCAGTGGCTGGCCAACAACAGTAGAATATTTCACAAAATTTTAATGAATAATAAATAAAAATCTAAAATTAAGTGAAGGCACTAATCTTATTTTCAATTTAGAACACATACCCAACATAGAATTAGTTTCCATTTCGTACTTAAATGATTGTAAAATGTATGATTGCTACAAGTCAAATTGCCAGTTTAAAATTATGAAGATGAAGTTTTATGGATGACATGACTGCACACATGCTAAACAGTACTTATGTACTGTACTGTATTATAATCCATACATAAGAAAAAACTTCAACTAGCATCTGTTGTGTCACAGACTTGCTCACAACACACATGCAGTACTTCAAATGCTGTTTATGTTATGAACACAGCAGCCTTCAACAGAGTAATAAATGTTGAAAATGGTATAAAATACCAACAAGGTAATAATTAAGACATGCACAACAGATAGGTATCTTTATTATATCATGTCACCCACTGCTGCTGTATTTAACTGGAGAAGCCTACTGTGTAGGCTAAACATTTCAACAATAACAATACCCAACTGCTGCATATGTGTCTTAATCATTAAAGTAATAAATCGCATTCTTATTTCTCCTATCCAAAATTCAGTCTTGCAGAATCTGAGTGAAAATATAAAATTTTATTATTTATTAACACAATGGCCGATTCCCACCAAGGCAGGGTGGCCCGAAAAAGAAAAACTTTCACCATCATTCACTCCATCACTGTCTTGCCAGAAGGGTGCTTTACACTACAGTTTTTAAACTGCAACATTAATACCCCTCCTTCAGAGTGCAGGCACTGTACTTCCCATCTCCAGGACTCAAGTTCGGCCTGCCGGTTTCCCTGAATCCCTTCATAAATGTTACTTTGCTCACACTCCAACAGCACGTCAAGTATTAAAAACTATTTGTCTCCATTCACTCCTATCAAACACGCTCATGCATGCCTGCTGGAAGTCCAAGCCCCTCGCACACAAAACCTCCTTTACCCCCTCCCTCCAACCTTTCCTAGGCCGACCCCTACCCCGCCTTCCTTCCACTACAGACTGATACACTCTTGAAGTCATTCTGTTTTACTCCATTCTCTCTACATGTCCGAACCACCTCAACAACCCTTCTTCAGCCCTCTGAACAACAGTTTTGGTAATCCCGCACCTCCTCCTAACTTCCAAACTACGAATTCTCTGCATTATATTCACACCACACATTGCCCTCAGACACGACATCTCCACTGCCTCCAGCCTTCTCCTCGTTGCAACATTCCTCACCCATGCTTCACACCCATATAAGAGCGTTGGTAAAACTATACTCTCATACATTCCCCTCTTTGCCTTCAAGGACAAAGTTCTTTGTCTCCACAGACTCCTAAGTGCACTGCTCACCCTTTTCCCCTCATCAATTCTATGATTCACCTCATCTTTCATAGACCCATTCGCTGACACGTCCACTCCCAAATATCTGAATACATTCACCTCCCCCATACTCTCTCCCTCCAATCTGATATCCAATCTTTCATCACCTAATCTTTTTATTATCCTCATAACCTTACTCTTTCCTGTATTCACTTTTAATTTTCTTCTTTTGCATACCCTACCAAATTCATCCACCAACCTCTGCAACTTCTCTTCAGAATCTCCCAAGAGCACAGTGTCATTAGCAAAGAGCAACTGTGACAACTCCCACTTTATGTGTGATTCTTTATCTTTTAACTCCATGCCTCTTGCCAAGACCCTCGCATTTACTTCTCTTACAACCCCATCTATAAATATATTAAACAACCACGGTGACATCACACATCCTTGTCTAAGGCCTACTTTTACTGGGAAATAATCTCCCTCTTTCCTACATACTCTAACTTGAGCCTCACTATCCTCATAAAAACTCTTCACTGCTTTCAGTAACCTACCTCCTACACCATACACCTGCAACATCTGCCACATTGCCCCCTTATCCACCCTGTCATACGCCTTTTCCAAATCCATAAATGCCACAAAAACCTCTTTAGCCTTATCTAAATACTGTTCAATTATATGTTTCACTGTAAACACCTGGTCCACACACCCTCTTCCTTTCCTAAAGCCTCCTTGTTCATCTGCTATCCTATTCTGTCTTATTCTTAATTCTTTCAATAATAACTCTACCAGGCTGGCAACTTCACAATTTTAAGGATGTTCATGGATGACTGCAATAATTTCACCAGTGAGGGGGTGCACTCTATATTGTACGCACACTGAATCACATAAACAAAATGAATCAACTTTAAACGTGTATTTTTACATTAATTTTTTAAAAAATTCTCCACGGGGAAGTGGTGAAGAAGCCTTCCTCTGTAAGCAATGAGTGTCGTAAGACGAGACTAAAATGATGAGAGCAAGGGGCTAGTAACCCCTTCTTCAGAAATCACTAAATGTAAAAAGAAGAAAAACTTTATGTGCCTTAGTTGGAGATGGCCAGTGTGTTATTTTTTTTAAATATGTTCTTTATAATACCACTTTTATTGTTGTTTAATATGTATATGGTAATGCAATTTATGATGAAAGATTTTAGAAGGAGGTCCAGGTATTCTCTACGTGAAGGATCCATTTCTACTGCAGTGTTTGACACGATGAAAATAAATGGTATAAAATACCGACACAATGGAAACATAAACACATATGCAGTTTAATGTGATCCTTTATTGACAATGTTTCACCCACACAGTGGGCTTTTTCAAGTCACACACAGATCTACCTGGGGTGGAAGGTACGGGAGTATTTATAGTCATGTTCAGAATGTTGAGGTCAGGTGGAGAATGCCGCATCTGATGCGGCATTTATAGTGAAAGGAAATACTGCATAACTCAGATTTAATGTGACAACCCATATGAAAATCGGTAATAAAATAATTATCATAATGGATGCACCGGTTTCCCTGATTCAGGGAAACCGGCAGGCCGGACTTGAGTCCTGGAGATGGGAAGTACAGTGCCTGCACTCTGAAGGAGGGGTGTTAATGTTGCAGTTTAAAAACTGTAGTGTAAAGCACCCTTCTGGCAAGACAGTGATGGAGTGAATGATGGTGAAAGTTTTTCTTTTTCGGGCCACCCTGCCTTGGTGGGAATCGGCCGGTGTGATAATAAAAAATAATAAAATAATGGATGCACATGTTCTTGTTCCTGAAAACTTCTTGAAGTTGTACTTTTTAAACTAAACAAGAGAATGGTGTCAGATTTCAAAAATGCAACATTTCCACACATGCATTAGTCAGAAGAGATAAACATTATGGTACTGTATTAAAATTAATGCAAATTTTCTCAAACACTTTTCCTATTTTCTCACTTTTATAGGACTCCAAGTGACAATCTTCATTGAAGATATGGATACACGTGCAACAACTGTGTATCTCACACAGTTGTTGCACATATCTAGTTCCTTGCATATATAAAAATACCCAGCTGTTGCACGGGTATCTAATTCTTCAACTTGTCGATATCATGTACCATTAATGTTATAATACAATCTTCAATCTTTCCATCTTTAGATGGAAAGATTGTGTCAATGCCTTCACTTTTTTTTTCTTAGACAAACTAGTAGGTGGATTTTTTTTTTTTGCATATTTAAAGTTATTTTTAAAATGCCTTTAACACTTAATGGGAATTGAAATACAAGGGCAAGATAATACAAAGCCCCCTGCTCTCCTCTCCTCCTGCCCCTGAAGGCCGAGACATACCTAAAGGAAGCAAGAAGACAAAATTGGCAGACAGGAAGTAAATTCACCATTATAAAAAAAAAAATGGCATGTGAAAAATAAACCAAAATTCAGTTAAACTAAACAAAAGCTCTATTTTACTAATGTATTTACCCATGCCTTCACTATGGACAAATTCAACCAACATTTATAAGCTAGACTGGGCACTTCACACACAGCTAAATACAAACTTACATATGACTGTATTAGTAAAGTAAAAAATAAATGAAACATTCAATTTGACATGCCTGCATGAAACCTGCAAACACAATGTACCTGTACAGAAATCAACTTACATGAAAGTTCTTACCTTCTCGTTATTTCTTCTTGATATGACACGGTCGAGACCATTGAAGGCTCCAGAGGCAACAAAGAGAATATTGGTAGTGTCCACTTGCACGGTTTCCCCACGCAGCTTCCGTGGAGAGTTGCGCTCTGGCACGTTAACAACAGTGCCTTCAAGCATCTGCAGATGAATAACAAATCAATAAACAACAACAAAAGCTATAAATTTCTAAGTTCAGTACTAAGAAAAAATGGTATGAATTTTTTTTTTTACTGTAGTTCCTTGGGCTATGAAAACCTTTCTACAGGTTTCAATGAACAGTAAAATGCTTTACTAGTAAAGTATATGGATAAGGCAGTTTTCATGCACTATACTACATTTCTCATGGGCTAAATGTGTATACACACACACACCAATGAACCACCAAATTTGCAAACTCTGTAATTTGGACATTTTAATTATCCAACTTTTTTTTTTAATGCGGGGCCAATCATGAATATCTTATCTATTCACAAGCTTACATTTTCTTTTGGGGGATAGGGGGGACTATCAAAAATATTTTAACTTGAAGCCTTTAGCTCTTCTTTTCATACCTAAACATCTACTGCTGTCTAAACTGCCTATACCCAATTCTTATGTTTACCAGGCTCCAGTGTATTTCTAATTCAGTACCACAATTTCCTGAAGCTCTGCTTTTGAGAGATCAAAAACCTAAAGGTATCAGATTCTGTTTCTTTACATTAAACACTTCCTTTCTCTCTTATCATTTGCATATTCAGTGTTGCTCCTAGCCCTGTTCCTTTAATGTAAATGAAATAAATTTACTTCTCCCAATATACAGTAAACCTTCAATTTGACAAACCTCCATTTGATGAATTCTGGAAATCTGGGACAAAATTCACTGGGTCAGTTACCAGTGATTACAAAACAAGTGACAGTCTGTTAGTTACAGAATAATGTTACTGTTATGATCATGGCAAAACAATTTCATCTCTATATGCCTCAACTAGTTACTACCTGCTACCCACTCTCCCACATTACTTCATTAAATCAAGTGTTTACTGTATTTATACCACATCAGTCCTTTTCCAACAAGGTAGGGTGACCCACAGATGGAAATATTCACCATTTTTTATTAAAAAATTAAATACAACTAAAACTCAATTTAATGAATGAATAAGGATGAGACTAGTGTGCCACAATCATAACAATAATGGCATGTCTGCAACCAATGGATGCTATCCTGTGTTTCTGAATTAAGAGATTCAGCAGATCTAATCTTATACTTCTTAAGTCTGTTATATCAAAGATATACTGTATTAATATAAAGGCTATGTTGCTAAGCAAGCACTGGGAAAATCAGCAATCAACTCTGGCAGACAAAAAATATTGATTTTTTTTTATGCCATGCGTGTTGTAAAAGTCAACTAAAATGCCGGGAACAATGGGCTAGTAACCCCTTTTCCTGTAAAGATTACTAAAAAGAATAAGAAGAAGAAAATTGTCAAAGTGGGAAGTCTGAATGTGCATGGATGTTGTGCAAATGATAAGAAAGAGATGATTGTGAATGTTATGAATGAGAAGAAACTGGTGGGGGGGGAGAGTTTCAATGGAGAGGAATAAATGGGATTAGGTCAGGGGTTTCAAATAGAGTTAGAGCTAAAGAAGGAGTAGCAATAATGTTGAAGGATAAGCTATGGCAGGAAAAGAGGGACTACAAATGTATAAATTCAAGGATTATGTGGAGTAAAATAAAGATTGGATGTGAAAAGTGGGTTATAGTAAGCGTGTATGCACCTGGAGAAGACAGAAGTGTAGAGGAGAGAGAGAGATTCTGGGAAATGTTGAGTGAATGCGTGGGGAGTTTTGAATCAAGTGTGAGAGTAATGGTGGTTGGGGATTTCAATGCTAAAGTGGGTAAAAATGTTATGGAGGGAGTAGTAGGTAAATTTGGGGTGCCAGGGCTAAATGTAAATGGGGAGCCTTTAATTGAGCTATGTGTAGAAAGAAATTTGGTAATAAGTAATACATATTTTATGAAAAAGAAGATAAATATGACTCAAGAAATCGTAATGACACGATTGCAAACAAACCATACCCCCGGCCGGGATTGAACCCGCGGTCATAGTCTCAAAACTCCAGCCTGTCGCATTAGCCACTAGACCAGCTAGCCACAATAAGATTCATCCAACTAGGTATATTTCTACACCATAGGAAGGTTAGCACAGGCACCACTGTGACCACAAATGCAAGTTTTTACAGCAGTGAAGGGACTTGAGCTAGAGTTCGTCACGGCCACGCTAGCTGGAGATTCGTCTGTAAAAACTTGCATTTGTGGTCACAGTGGTGCCTGTGCTAACCTTCCTATGGTGTAGAAATATACCTAGTTGGATGAATCTTATTGTGGCTAGCTGGTCTAGTGGCTAATGCGACGGGCTGGAGTTCTGAGACTATGACCGCGGGTTCAATCCTGGCCGGGGGTATGGTTTGAGGATAAATAAATATACAAGGTATGATATAGCACGTAATTAAAGTAGTTTGTTAGATTATGTATTGGTGGATAAAAGGTTGATGGGTAGGCTCCAGGATGTACATGTTTATAGAGGGACAACTGATATATCGGATCATTATTTAGTTGTAGCTACAGTTACAGTAAGAGGTAGATGGGAAAAGAGGAAGGTGGCAACAACAAGTAAGAGGGAGGTGAAAGTGTATAAACTAAGGGAGGAGGAAGTTCGGGCGAGATATAAGCGACTATTGGCAGAAAGGTGGGCTAGTGCAAAGATGAGTAGTGGGGGGTTGAAGAGGGTTGGAATAGTTTTAAAAATGCAGTATTAGAATGTGGGGCAGAAGTTTGTGGTTATAGGAGGGTGGGGGCAGGAGGAAAGAGGAGTGATTGGTGGAATGATGAAGTAAAAGGGTGTTATAAAAGAGAAAAAGGTAGCTTATGAGAGGTATTAACAAAGCAGAAGTGTTACAAGAAGAGTAGAGTATATGGAGAGTAAAAGAAAGGTGAAGAGATGTGAGAGAGTGCAAAAGGAGAGCAGATGAAAGAGTGGGAGAGGCACTGTCAAGAAATTTTAATGAAAATATGAAAAAATTTTGGAGTGAGTTAAACAAGTTAAGAAAGCCTAGGGAAAGTATGGATTTGTCAGTTAAAAACAGAGTAGGGGAGTTAGTAGATGGGGAGAGGGAGGTATTAGGTAGATGGCGAGAATATTTTGAGGAACTTTTAAATGTTGAGGAAGAAAGGGAGGCGGTAATTTCATGCACTGGCCAGGGAGGTATACCATCTTTTAGGAGTGAAGGAGTGAAGAATGTAAGTGTGGTGGAGGTACGTGAGGCATTACGTAGAATGAAAGGGGTAAAGCAGCTGGAACTGATGGGATCATGACAGAAATGTTAAAAGCAGGGGGGATATAGTGTTGGAGTGGTTGGTACTTTTGTTTAATAAATGTATGAAAGAGGGGAAGGTACCTAGGGATTGGCGGAGAGAATGTATAGTCCCTTTATATAAAGGGAAGGGGGACAAAAGAGATTGTAAAAATTATAGAGGAATAAGTTTACTGAGTATACCAGGAAAAGTATACGGTAGGGTTATAATTGAAAGAATTAGAGGTAAGACAGAATGTAGGATTGCGGATGAGCAAGGAGGCTTCAGAGTGGGTAGGGGATGTGTAGATCAAGTGTTTACATTGAAGCATATATGTGAACAGTATTTAGATAAAGGTAGGGAAGTTTTTATTGCATTTATGGATTTAGAAAAGGCATATGATAGAGTGGATAGAGGAGCAATGTGGCAGATGTTGTAAGTATATGGAATAGGTGGTAAGTTACTAAATGCTGTAAAGAGCTTTTATGATAGTGAGGCTCAGGTTAGGGTGTGTAGAAGAGAGGGAGAATACTTCCCGGTAAAAGTAGGTCTTAGACAGGGATGTGTAATGTCACCATGGTTGTTTAATATATTTATAGATGGGGTTGTAAAAGAAGTAAATGCAAGGGTGTTTGGGAGAGGGGTGGGATTAAATTATGGGGAATCAAATTCAAAATGGGAATTGACACAGTTACTTTTTGCTGATGATACTGTGCTTATGGGAGATTCTAAAGAAAAATTGCAAAGGTTAGTGGATGAGTTTGAGAATGTGTGTAAAGGTAGAAAGTTGAAAGTGAACATAGAAAAGAGTAAGGTGATGAGGGTATCAAATGATTTAGATAAAGAAAAATTGGATATCAAATTGGGGAGGAGGAGTATGGAAGAAGTGAATGTTTTCAGATACTTGGGAGTTGACGTGTCGGCGGATGGATTTATGAAGGATGAGGTTAATCATAGAATTGATGAGGGAAAAAAGGTGAGTGGTGCGTTGAGGTATATGTGGAGTCAAAAAACGTTATCTATGGAGGCAAAGAAGGGAATGTATGAAAGTATAGTAGTACCAACACTCTTATATGGATGTGAAGCTTGGGTGGTAAATGCAGCAGCGAGGAGACGGTTGGAGGCAGTGGAGATGTCCTGTCTAAGGGCAATGTGTGGTGTAAATATTATGCAGAAAATTCGGAGGGGTTGTTGAGGTGGTTTGGTCATTTAGAGAGAATGGATCAAAGTAGAATGACATGGAAAGCATATAAATCTATAGGGGAAGGAAAGAGGGATAGGGGTCGTCCTCGAAAGGGTTGGAAAGAGGGGGTAAAGGAGGTTTTGTGGGTGAAGGGCTTGGACTTCCAGCAAGCGTGCATGAGCGTGTTAGATAGGAGTGAATGGAGACGAATGATACTTAGGACCTAACGATCTGTTGGAGTGTGAGCAGGGTAATATTTAGTGAAGGGATTCAGGGAAACCGGTTATTTTCATATAGTCGGACTTGAGTCCTGGAAATGGGAAGTACAATGCCTGCACTTTAAAGGAGGGGTTTGGGATATTGGCAGTTTGGAGGGATATGTTGTGTATCTTTATACGTATATGCTTCTAAACTGTTGTATTCTGAGCACCTCTGCAAAAGCAGTAATAATGTGTGAGTGTGGTGAAAGTATTGAATGATGATGAAAGTATTTTCTTTTTGGGGATTTTCTTTCTTTTTTTGGGTCACCCTGCCTCGGTGGGAGACGGCCGACTTGTTGAAAAAAAAAAAAAAATAACACATTTTAAAGGTAGTAGGTTGGTAGACAGCAACCACCCAGGGAGGTACTACCGTCCTGCTAAGCGAGTGAAAACGAAAACTTGTAATGGTTTTACATGATGGTAGGATTGCTGGTGTCTTTTGTCTGTCTCATAAATATGCAAGATTACAGGTATGTCTTGCTACTTCTACTTACACTTAGGTCACACTACACATACGTGTACTCACCTAGTTGAGGTTGCAGGGGTCGAGTCCAAGCTCCTGGCCCCGCCTCTTCACTGATCGCTACTAGGTCACTCTCCCTGAGCCGTGAGCTTTATCATACCTCTGCTTAAAGCTATGTATGGATCCTGCCTCCACTACATCGCTTCCCAAACTATTCCACTTCCTGACTACTCTGTGGCTGAAGAAATACTTCTTAACATCCCTGTGATTCATCTGTGTCTTCAACTTCCAACTGTGTCCCCTTGTTACTGTGTCCAATCTCTGGAACATCCTGTCTTTGTCCACCTTGTCAATTCCTCTCAGTATTTTGTATGTCGTTATCATGTCCCCCCTATCTCTCCTGTCCTCCAGTGTCATCAGGTTGATTTCCCTTAACCTCTCCTCGCAGGACATACCTCTTAGCTCTGGGACTAGTCTTGTTGCAAACCTTTGCACTTTCTCTTGTTTCTTTACATGCTTGGCTAGGTGTGGGTTCCAAACTGGTGCCGCATACTCCAATATGGGCCTAACGTACACGGTGTACAGGGTCCTGAACGATTCCTTATTAAGATGTCAGAATGCTGTTTTGAGGTTTGCTAGGCGCCCAAATGCTGCAGCCGTTATTTGGTTGATGTGCGCTTCAGGAGATGTGCCTGGTGTTATACTCACCCCAAGATCTTTTTCCTTGAGTGAGGTTTGTAGTCTCTGGCCCCCTAGACTGTACTCCATCTGCGGTCTTCTTTGCCCTTCCCCAATCTTCATGACTTTGCACTTAGTGGGATTGAACTCCAGGAGCCAATTGCTGGACCAGGTCTGCAGCCTGTCCAGATCCCTTTGTAGTTCTGCCTGGTCTTCGATCGAGTGAATTCTTCTCATCAACTTAACGTCATCTGCAAACAGGGACACCTCGGAGTCTATTCCTTCCGTCATGTCGTTCACAAATACCAGAAACAGCACTGGTCCTAGGACTGACCCCTGTGGGACCCCGCTGGTCACAGGTGCCCACTCTGACACCTCGCCACGTACCATGACTCGCTGCTGTCTTCCTGACAAGTATTCCTTGATCCATTGTAGTGCCTTCCCTGTTATCCCTGTTTGGTCCTCCAAGCATATACGTGTATATACACACCCCTCTGGGTTTTGTGCTATTTTCTTTCTAGTTCTTGTTCTTGTTTATTTCCTCCTATCTCCATGGGGAAGTGGAGTGTTGTAAGAGGCGACTAAAATGCCAGGAGCAAGGGGCTAGTAACCCCTTCTCCTGTATATACGTATTACTAAATGTACAAGGAGAAACTTTTGTTTTTCCTTTTGGGCCACCCCACCTCGGTGGGATACGGCCGGTGCGTTGAAAGAAAGAAAGACATAACACATTTCTAATTAATAACACCTGGGATTGTGAAAACAATCTTCACTCAGGAAAAAGAAGAGACAATAACTGCTCTCAGGTGTGTGAATAATTACTTCTACAGGCAATTGAGGAAAGGCTAGATGAAGCATCTAAACCCACCTACCACGGGCGGAAATTGAACCCGCGGTCAGAGAGTCTCAAAACTCCAGACCGTCGCGTTAGCCACTGGACCAGCTAGCCACAATAAGATTTGTCCAACTAGGTATATTTCTACACCTATACTTAGTTGGACGAATCTTATTATGGCTAGCTAGTCCAGTGGCTAACGCGACGGTCTGGAGTTTTGAGACTCTCTGACCGCGGGTTCAAATCCCGCCCATGGTATGGTTTGTTTGCAATCGTGCCATTATGATTTCATGAGTCATGAAGCATCTACTATGGTTACATACATCTGCATTTAACACATTCTATGTATTTTTCATGTAGTGTATACAAAATCAGATCAATATTTCATTCAACAAATTTCTTTCTTTGGTGAAAAGCAATGAGAATATAAAGAAATATTTCACAAAAACAGGCAATGAAATATTGTGGGTAGAGGCCTCTAATAAGAGATTTGTGAATGGCAAAAAGATAATGAAAAACCCCAACTATATCAAATAAAATGCTGACCTTGAGCATACCCTGCTGAACTCCTTCCCCACCTACATCTCGCAACTGGTGAATCCCCGGCACTGCTCCAATCTTATCCACCTCATCCAAGAATACAATACCTAGTAATAAAGGAAGAATTGCTGACAATATGTTAGGTAAAAGGGCACGTGCAACTAATGTGACATTTTATTGTAGCAATGTTTTACTCTCCAGGAACCTTCTCAAATTGTTACTAACTTGACAAAGCTCCTGGAGAGCAAAACGTTGCCACAATAAAATGTCACATTAGTTGCATATGTGTCCTTTTACTTAACAATACAATACTTGTATAGACAATACAAACAAAACTTGAAAAGTATTATACTATATAACAAATAAGTGTGGAAATTAAAAGACAATGTGGGGTCACCTAGGGTACAATGCAGAGGGTTCAGAAAGGGTTGCTGAGATAGTCTGGAGAGGAAAAAAATTGGGAAAGAGGGTGTATAAATCTAGGATGGAATGGTTGGAGGGAAGAGATAAGAGGCTTTGAGTTTTAAGGGCTTGAATTGTTGATGTCAACACACTTCTGGAAAGACAGTGATTGAACGAAAAAACACAGAATATATACATGAAATTTTTATCCTCTGTATGACAATGATAAGGATCTCGTCAAATAGACATGTTATCCAAAAAAGTTTTCTGCAAATATGTCTTTTCTTCAGTATTGTTGGTAGTATACCATTTGGATACAATTACAAACAAAAACAAATTGGTAAAATATTAGATTTCACCACTTACTGAAATGTTTTAAAAGCTTACCAGTCTGTGCCTTCTCTACATTGTAGTTAGCATCCTGAAGCAATTTTGCAATCACAGATTCTATGTCCTCTCCCACATAGCCAGCTTGAGTCAGAGTCGTGCAGTCACAAATAGCAAAGGGAACATCCAAACACTGAGCTATGGTCTGAGCTAATAAAGTTTTACCTGTAAAATTAAAACATAAATCATACATACAAAAAAAGCTAACCTTGCAACTCTATCCATAAACATTACAAGTGGTACAGTAGGACCTCCATATCCATGGGTGCAGTTTCCATGGTTTCAGTTATCCACAGTTTACCCTGGCCTGAAAATAACCCTTAATTTTGCTTAATAATGACACCAAAGTGCAAGAGTAGTAATGGTGACAGTTCTTCAAAGCCTAGGAGAAATTGTGAAGTGCTTCCCATCAGTGAAAAAGTGCTAATTTTCGACTAATTTTGTGTAATTTATCAATTAAACTTTCAATAAAAGAAAAATTACTTAAATATAGGGTTTGCTACTATCCGCGGTTTTGGGTACCCACAGTAGGTCTTGGAATGTATCCCCTGCGCATACAGGGGTTCTACTGTATTTGGAAAACAGCCACCTAGCATGAACATGCTGATTCAAAGAGCAATTGTCATTATTATTTTTAACCAGCATTTTTGGACTTGCATCATACTCATTGTTACTACATGGAACATGTGTATACATATATCAGTATACCCTCATATGTGGTACACATGTTCTTGAAAACTACCTGTAACACAAAACTGTGTTTTTGTTTTTTTAAACACTCTGGCAGATAAAGGATTCTCTACTGTACTGTCTTCTGGCCAGCAGAAGGTTACAAAGAAAAATAATGTAAACTACTTCCCCTCAGAAACAAAGTTCATTCAGTTTAGACTTCTCTGTATGCTGGAGTATAAGAATGATCTGAAGTGTAACATTACTACTAGTACCCTAAGACAAGAATCCATTTATAAAGAATTTTTTCCCCATTTATGTAATGAACATCCACTATACCTGATCCAGTGGGGCCAAGAAGCAGGATGTTACTCTTCTCTAGTCTTAAATTGTGAGTGGTTGCATCAAGGATGTCAGAACCATGGGAGTTACTGGACATGGGCCGTTTTGACTGCTGCTTTTGCTGCTGCTGCTGCTCCATTTGTTGCTGAGGGTCTTGCTGTTGCAAGTGCTGGTGTTGGTCTGTATTCTGGTAACCAGTGACTCCTAATGCATGGCTCTGGCTGATGCCCGCAATGTGCAGCAAATCTGACAGAAAAACAATTAACATAGGTAAGACATTTCTGAATTTCAGACGAGACAAACAACATGCTGAAGCAATGCTTATCATGAATAAATACTATCTTAAATTAGTCCTGAAATATTTGCAGGTTAGTATTTTAATACAAAAATAACCTAAGCTGAAAAAATGAAATTCCACACTACAGTGAATATAACAATAGAATTTAAACAGTTTTAAACTCATGAATGGCAGAACAGCAGGCAGTTAAAAACCCAGAACTCTTGCGAAGTCACAGGGCTGGATAGGCTTTTTTCCCTTTTTTTTAACACATCGCCATTTCCACAAAGGAAAGGGACCCGAAAACTTTTATCATCACTTAAATCCATCCATCTTCCCAAAGGTATGCCGATATATACCCAAAAAAGGCAACATACACCACCCTCCACAAATTATGCCCAAAAAACCCCTTTTATCTTAACACCCGGGCCCAAATTGGATACCCAAACTGGGATTTCCTTATTAATAGAAAGTTTTTAACTTCTGAACTCAGAAAACCTCAGCATTTCTTTTAGCTCAAATGCCAGGATTAAGAACTAGTTTTTACTAAAATACCTGTACACTTATCTTTTTATTCCCACTGGCCCTTACCCCCTTCAAGGAGGGTGACCTAAAGAGATTTAAACATGCCCCTCTCTAGTTCTTTTCCAAAAATAAGAATCAGTCCCCTTATTATTTATATTCATGGAGAAATATTTTCATTAGTAGTAATCAATGCACTTGAATAGGAGATAATCAGGTTTGATCTAGGGGAAGTGGCTTCAATTTCCTTTTAAACAAGAGCCCTTTTACTAGAATTAAGTCACACCCTTTAAGGGCATCAATTTTAAAATTGGCCACGTCTAAACAATCCCTTTTCCCCTTTAATCACAGGTATACTTCTCAATCTATGAAATTCATCTGGCTTGCTAGTCTATTTAAAGCCTGTCACAAAAAATGAAAGCAACAGCACACAAAGTACCAGAGTGCTTGTCTATGATTCAAGCCTGGAGTTTAAGGGTCCTTTCTTGGTAGCTATTTGAAAATATTGTAGTGGCACAATGTTAGCCATGTTTATCAATTTACCCTTAGTAAGATCTCTTGATTTCCAGAGGTGACATCATAACTGTTCTGCTAATTTTGTTAATCTATTATGATATCCTGTCAGGTCATGTTACTTTTTTTTTTTTTTTGTCAATACCCAATAGGACAGAAGTTACTTCATGTCATTTCTGGATATTTTAAGGAGCTCAATTTCATTTTCCTGGCATAGATTCAATCTGCTTCAGCTGATGTATCCTCTAGTGTAAACAGACATGGAACTCTATATTTAGTAGCTAATGCATCTCATCCAATTTTATTTTTTCATCATTCTTGATTGTCCTGATTCTGTCTTCAACATTTAGTTCGACTATTACAAACCTGAATAAAAGATTTGGCTCCATATTCCCCTGGTATATTCTGGCATCTCTGAATCCCGAGTAGGTCTCTGGAAACCCTCCAGCATTACGCATCATTCCAGTCTTTACTGTAAAACTATTTAACCTAATTTGGAATGAAGTGTTTGTTTTTGTTTTCATGCAAACTGCAGAGCACTCAATATAGTAATTTGTCTATATCTGTCATTTATAATATTTTATTCCATTTTTCTTTCTCTAAAATACTGTTATTAGATCATTTTCTTTTAATGTTTTTAATGCAATCAAGCCTCTTTAAATCATAGCATGCAATTTATGTTATTTCCAACATATGTAACAAGATCAATTAGCGAGTTTAGATGATTTACAGATAGGTTCTCCTCGACTTATAATGGTTTGGCTTACGATATTTTGACTTTACAATGATGCAGCAATTATGGAGATGAAAATTAAGATAATTGCCCATAATGAAGGTGGGAAGCTGTAACTTCTATTCATTTATTTACTTTTCAATACAGGTATTTACAGTAATTATTTGTTAATTTATTTATTCACTGACAGTAGTTATTTACTTGCACCTGTATGGCATTCTTTTTGCTTAGCAATTGCTAAATCTGGATCAGTACTGACACTATGTTACCTTTCCTTGCTTAAGTCATCTGTTTAATTGTGCCGATTCATTAAAAACATGTCACTGCATCGAGGAATTTTGTTAATATTTTGTTTACTACTCCAGTCTCAATTGCTATCAATGTTATTTCCTTGTATTGAAATCTATAATTACAATTTTGTTCTTATTGTTTAACTGGTATTTTCAACTACATATATGTAAATATAAGTTATTTAATGTTAGGTTAGCCTAACCTAGGCTAACTGGAAGAATTATATAATGTTTGGCACTGTCAATAATGTAGAAATTGACACAGTAATACATTATGTAAAAAAAATGAATGCTCTATTTGGAGTATAAGCTTAATTCAGGAAAGACAACTAGAAAGAATGTGATTTTTTTTTTGTTTGGGCCATCTGCCTTAGATTAAAATAGCCTGTTTTAAGAATAATACATACTGGACACATACCTAATGTCCCAATTTCTAGCAGCAATGAATAAAAGCTTAGTGTTAGATGCTAAGCTGACAATAATAAAAAGTACACAAGCAAATAATGTAGTTACTAAGTAAAACAAGCTGAGTAATAAATGTAGCAAAATATAACTCAAGAGTTGCAATTGTATCAAAATATTTTTACTAATATTGCTTTTTGCTATCATTGCCAATAATGACTGTTATATGTTATATACCTATGTAACCCTAAATGTTTTTTATTAACCCGTAAACGGTCCAAACGTATATATACGTTTTTTCAACATTTGAAAGTATGTAAAAAAAAGTAGATCTTTTTGTTTTTCTACATTTGAAAATGTGTAAAAAAGCTTTGATCTACTTTTTTTGTTATATTTGAAAATATGTAAAAAAACTTAGATCTACTTTTGTAGCACTACACGTGAACATAGATCTGCTTGGACCATTTACGGGTTAAATGCATCAAACACCATTTTGCAATATATAAATAATACAATGGGTTAGCTCATTCAATGATGAAAGTCCTCTTGCAGGGTTGAGCTAGTCTCTCAAAAAGTTGATTATCTTTGGCTATTGCACTCAAACAGCAAAAGTGTACTATTTGTCTTACCTTGCACAACTGTTTTCAATGACTTCTGTGATATTTTCTCACTACTCTTCTATGTGTATAGTGCATATTTACTTATCCAACATCCATTTTTCCTAGTATTCCATATGCCTGCAGTGGCAACTGTGGCAATTAACTTCAAACCAGCACAGGGAATTCTTTGTTCCTACAAGGCATTTAGTGACTAAAAGCAGCTACATCTGCATTAAGCCAACTCTTCCCATGAGTTCTTGAGGATATTCTTATAGAAAACAAATCATCAAAGGATACCACCAATGTTAGTATGTGCAATGTACAGGTAGTATCATGTCAAACATCAGGCATAAGGGTGACCAAATCATGCATCGAACTGTATATCTTCAATCAAAAAGAAAAAGATTCCAAAGTGCATATATTAAATTAGGTTGAGGAAAGAAGTTAAGGTTTACAGAGTGCTTGGATTAATAAGTCATTCAGTGTTCATCAATAAAAGGAGTACATACACCCACAAACCAAAATTAACTATTCATAATACAAATAAATCACAACAACATGCATAAGATAAAATGATAAATACTCACAATTAAATAAAAACATTCAACTGATTAACTTTAATAAAACAAGACATAAAATTTTCCCAAAGTTCCCGTACAAGTACTGGAAATAATGAAATCTCCACTGACCACAAACAAACCATCAAAATATGTGTCAAAGCCTGTGGCCCACATTAATGGAGGGAAGTAGGGAGCACTTAACCTGAAAGGGGTCATACAGCACCTGGAGGAATGGGAGGCAATCAGGTTCAATCCAAGGGAAGGCAATCAGGTTTAATCCAAGGAAGAGGAGTTCAGGTTCAATCCAAGGAAGCAAAATCCAGGTTCAATCCAAGGGGAGTCCAGGTTTAATCAAAGGTTTAATTTCTCAGATCAAAAGCCTTCAACAGTATCATGGTACCTTCTATGATGGGTCAAGCTACAGAGAAAGGGGTAAGTGTCTGTGAGCAAGAAGTGAGCACCTTATCCTTAATTTGCAAAATCATTTTTTAGAAATGATTCTTGTGAAAGGAGGGGTCATTCACATCATGCCAAACCTTGTACAGCTTGGTTTGACCAACTGGACCTCCCATTTCCCAGAAGGCTGCTAGTATTATTAACTCATCTCCCACTGAGGTAAGGTGACCTAAAGAATAACACATTAACTTGACTGCCATCTTTTCGGAAGAGCGCTGACATCACAATCAGATTAACCCATGACTGCAACATCCCCACCCTCTTTCAGGGTGTAGCACTGCCCTTCTTACTTCCAGGACTCAAGTCTGGCTAACCAATTTTCCTGAAACAAATCATGAAATTTACCCTGCTCACACTCCAACAGCAAGTCCATTAAAAGACATTTGTTTTTTGTTCTTGTATCTCCTGCTGCTATTTTTTCTTTTAACATGTCAGCCATTTCCCACCAAGGCAGGGTGACCCAAAGAGAAAGAAAAAAAAAAGAAACTTTCATCATTCAACACTTTCACCATCAATCATACATAATCACTATTTTTGCAGAGGCGCTCAGATATGACAGCTTAGACGTCCCTCCAAACTGCCAATATCACAAACCCCAGTTTGGGATATTGGCATTGTACTTCCCATTTCCAGGATTCAAGTCCAGCTAACTGGTTTCCCTGAATCTCTCCACAAAATATCACCCTGCTCACACTCCAACAGCTCGGCAGGTCCCAAAAACCATTCATCTCCATTTACTCCTAAGACACTCATGCACACTTGCTGGAAGTCCAAGCCCCTCGCCCACAAAACCTTCTTTACCCCGTCCCTCCAGCCTTTTTGGGGACAACCCCTACCCTGCCTTCCTTTCCTACAGATTTTACATCTCCAAGTCATTCTACTTTGCTCCATTCT